ACGCCTTTCCCACAGTGCCCCGCGCCAGGCCCCGCCCCGCCTCGCCGCGCAGACCGGTGGGCTAGGAGGCGACCCGAGGTGGCCGCGCTCGCTGCCGCCGGTGCGGCTCTTCCTTCCCCATCCCGAGCACGGCGGCCGGGCGGTAGGCGAGTGCGTGTTTCTCTCCCGCACAGCTTGCGCTCGGCCGGGTAGGGTGCACCGCCGAGAGTTGAAGATGGGAGAGTAGCTGCAGGAGGCGACCTCGCGACACTGAGGTGGGCATGGGCCGGGGCTCTGATGGAGCCGGCGGCGTCCTGGGCCCTCCGGGAAGGGAGGGCCCAACTGCTGTGCACCTGAACTTGCCCTCTTCTCTCGGCGGCCGTGTTCTCTCGTCCCGTCTTCCCATTACCTGTCCTATACCACTCCTCCGGCTAGCGATCTCTCGCTTCTTGCTCCAGTTTCTCTAGCCTCAATTATTCGGGCTCCTTTGCCTTTTCTGGCCAGAGACTTCACACACCATCTTTTCCCTCTCCCCGCGTTCCATTCTAGAACAATGGCTGCAAGAAGGCGTTCGTATTGTATTTACCTGCAGCTTCCACCTGTCCCCGCAGCTCGGCACAGAGCGAGTCAGTCACCCATGCTGAGAACAACTACTAGCAGGAAACACCTCATGTCCCAAAGTGATGTTTAAGAATATGTTCTCTGTTTTTCCCTAATAAGTGTTTTCTAGTTTGGATATTTGTTAATATCCATCGCTATATTTTGCAAAGGTTTTTTTTGTTGTTTTGTTTTGTTGGTGGCATGAAAAGGAGGGATTAGAAATGAGCCAAAGACCACAGGTAAGGAGAAAAATAATTTAAATAGACATTTAAGATTAAATGAGAACAGAAACAGGATGGAAGGAAAGTTAAATTTTTCAAAACATTGAGCTCTTTGGAAGTATGCAAGTTTAAATATAATTTGATAAAGTGGAGTTTATTTTCTCCCACACAGGTGAGCATGTCTAAATAACTGATTCCTTTTTTTCTTTTTCAACTTTTATTTATACCAAACATAAACTTTACAATAAAATTACACTTTAACTTGCAGTTGTTATTCTATTTTTATAACATAGTCTTTACTTATATGTAACATAAGCACCGTTTGAGAAAACTCTGGGAGAAAACGACCTAATATGTAAGTTGTCTATTACAACAATATAAATTCACTGCCATTTTTGGAAGGGTTATATGAAAAATACCCTTTGGAACGATGCCGTGTTTCCTTTTAGTTCCCCCTAAAGGATATTTCCTACAAGTGAAATCTGATTAAAATGATAACTGGATAGCCTTTAAAAAGGTGAAGAAGTAGCCAAAAAGGAAGCAGTTGTTAGAAAAGGGTAATGCTTAAAGCTAGGTAGAAGAAGGAAGGAAACAAGTGTAGTCGTTGTCAGCCCCCAGCCCCCTTGTGTTTTGGTGTTGATCAGAGCGAATGCTGAATTTGTTTTTAAAGTGTTCTAGCTAGCTACAACCACACACTACCTTTTACCTGCTATCTTGAATGATTTCACAGATCTGGATACCCGGTTGTGGAAGCAATAAAAGAGACCCCCAAAGAATGGCACCTGGGGCACTCACCCTGATTTGCTATTTAATGGAGATTGTATTGCTGACCATGTTGTTTAATAGTGTTATTGCTGAGCTTGGGTTGTTTTGTTTTGTTTCGTTTTGAAATGTATTTTAACTACCTGGTTTCCTCTCTTTAGACTAACATTTGGGAGAAAATTTCTGAGTCACCTTTGGAGTGATGCGGACAGAAGTTCTCACACTTGCATATCACATCAACTGGAACCAACAGTATATCTTAATGTGTACTTAAATCAGAACCTGTATGAGAGAAAGAATGGGAGCCTGGTTAAATAGAAATGACTATGTCAGAGACTTGAAAAGGGTCATTCTCTGTTTTCTAATAGTGTATATGGCCATTTTAGTGGGCACAGATCAGGATTTTTACAGTTTACTTGGAGTATCCAAAACTGCAAGCAGTAGAGAAATTAGACAAGCTTTTAAGAAATTGGCACTGAAGCTTCATCCTGATAAAAACCCGGTAGGTAAAAATTTCTTTTTAAACCTATCTGATTAAGGTATTTTAGTAACTTTCGATATCTATTTAAATTACTTTAAGTACTCAAAATGCTTAAGAACAATCACATATCAAAAGTCATAATTCAACTTCTGTATTAAAAACAGAAGCAGCAAAATGTTCTTGTTTAGAACGGCGTGATTGGTCAGTAGCAAAAATACGATTCCATCTTAACTTGAAAATTAATTTCCAGCAGTTCTATTCCAGATGTTAATCCTAAAGCAGACAAGAATGTCTGTGAAGTAGTTTTCTTAGTAAAGTAGTTTGAGATCAAGTATTTCAGAACAGTAACAAAAATGATTTCCTTAGAACTTAGAGTATATCTTGCTTAAAATGACAGTAATAGCATGCTAATAATAGCATGCTTCACCTTTTCACTGTCTTCTTCCATGCATAAGTCTATATGACCAGAGTCAAGAACTATTATAAATAAAACTCGAGAACAGCCAAATCCAGTTAGTTCCAGTCATAAATATTTGATTATCCAATAATCTTTCAAAATTAAATTAGTTTATTCTTATGGTATTTTTATAATTTAATTCTTGAGTTCTGACACTCATCAAAGAGAAAGATATGGTTATTATAATTTTCTATTTTCTAGATAGAATTTTTAAAATAGGATTATTTTGATTGCTTAACGCTAAGTGGTGGAATCAGTATTTTTCTAAAACTCTCATTAGTTGGTTATCTTTCCCTGAAATCTGCATTCTATTGTTTTTAGGGTTTTTTTTTTTTTCCTTTAAAATTTCAGAATGTGATATTTAAGTTTCCATGCAAAAGATGGTGGACTTTCTCCAATTAAGTAGATGAAAGCATTCTTCAAAAACCAATTCTTTGAAAGAGTAACAAATATTTCCAATCCATTTTTAAGTTGTTACTCTGATACTGGTTCTTATTTAATTACCTGATGGATTGTTAATTTTGCCTCAGGTAGAAAAATAACCTACAAATTTCTTTGTAATTGTTTTATGGATAACAAATACTACTTAACACAATATTAAGAGTTTCCAAGGGTTATTAGTCAGTATTTTCTCAGTTGCATTTCTTAGAAGGAATGACTTATATTGTATGACCGCATCTATCAGCCCTTTGGTCATCAGTTCTCATTTCTGTTACTTATTTTTTTTTTTTTTTTGAGATTGTAGTTTTTTAAAAACTCTTTTATATCAACCCATGATAACATACTTAATATTGTGCTACTACTCTTTATCTCTTTATCTATTCTCCCAAAAATCTCAGGATTAAATTAAATCTACATATAGGTTCAGGAGAGACTTGATTGATTATCTGAAACAAATGTTATATCTAATATTTTTTAATAGAATAACCCAAATGCACATAGTGATTTTTTAAAAATAAATAGAGCATATGAAGTACTCAAAGATGAAGATTTACGGAAAAAGTATGACAAATATGGAGAAAAGGGACTTGAAGATAATCAAGAAGGAGGCCAATATGAAAGCTGGAATTATTATCGTTATGATTTTGGTAAGATGATATGATATTCCTTATGAAATTTTTGGTTTTTATTTGAGTAAATTTAGAAAATTAATTTTGTTTCGCCACTTAGCTTATGTAGTTAATATGTATCACCTTGACTCTTTAATGTAACATGGGAGTGGAATTTAAAAGGAAAGTTACATGGTATGTAGATATTATCTACACATCTGTGAAGGTATTTTGGTCATAATCTTGTTAAATACTTTTAAAATAAAGATTGCTATTTAAAAAATATTTGCATTACAAGTTAAATATTGAAGCCTTTCAATATATTTAGAGCATCATATTTTCCAAGAAAAGCTAAAGTTTAATCTTTTAAATTTAATACTGGTCACTTCAGTAGACATGCCATCCTTAATGATGGTTTAAGGTGTTGACAGGAATAGGAAATGAGGCAAAAGCAGGAGTAAACAAGTTAAATCAAGGGAAGGGTAAAGTAAACACAGGTATCAAGCAAAAGGGTTCAAGTACCCAATATTTCTTTTGTCATTAATTAACCTCAAATGCAAGCTAACAACTGGAGTCCTGTTACACTAAATATTTAATTTATAGCTGGAGTATTTGTTTCTCAAGACTGACTTTCTTTTCAAAATAGTATTTTCAATTATATTCACTACAGCTTGATATATCAGATATCAGCAGTCTACATTGCACAGGCTAAATCTGGCCTGCCACCTGTTTTCGTAAATAAAGTTTTATTAAATACAGGCATACCTCATTTTACTGCGCTTCACAGATGTTGTTGTTTTATAAATTGGAGACAAGACCCTCCTCCCACAAAAAGATTACAGCTTGCTTTATTATGATACTGGCTTTTTTGCAGTGATCTGAAACGAAACCCACAATGTCTCTGAGGAATACCCATACGGTTATGTTCATTTATTTACATATAGTCTCTGTGGCTGCTTTCACATTTCAAGGACGGAGTTACTTAGTTATGACAGAAACCATATGTCCCACAAAGCTTGAAATATTTACTAACTGGCCTTTACTGAAAAAGTTTGCTAACCCCTTGTCTGTATCCATCACCAATATATTTGTAGATTTTATATAGTAATGAGAAATTGTTTCACATAGGTTTTAATTATTATGGTAAATACAGTTTTTACTTAATAAGTTTATCTCTACCTCTACAAATATTCTAAGACTTTTAGCTATAGAAAATAACTTTAAATGATATCACTTACTGAAAACATTGAGAAGTGAATGAGATCTGTAGTGTAGTTAACAGTAACGTACCAGTGCCAATTTCCTGGATTGGATATTGTACTAAAACTGTGTAACATGTCACCATTAGAGGAAACTGGGTGATAGATATGTGAGAGTCTGTACAATTTTCACAACTTCCTGTAAGGCTATAATTATTTCAAAATAAAAAGCTTAAAAAAACATAATAGAAATTTTCTGTAGAGATGAAATAATGTGAATATTAGGAACCCCACAAACACACACCTATGACAGTCAGTTTCAGAAGATTAATATCTTTGATCAGTATGTAAATGTATCACCAGTGGTTTATTTACTCAGGTTTTTCTTTGTTGCTTATTTTTCAACAGATTTAGTATAGTAATCTGATTTTTGTTGACTAAAACTGGAATAAGTAACTTATTTTTATGTGGTAATATTTTATGGTATTTTAATTTAGTAATTTATGTACTTTTAAAATTAGGTATTTATGATGATGATCCTGAAATCATAACATTGGATAGACGAGAATTTGGTAAGTTTGTGGGCATACAGTTTTTTAAAACTAGTCGCTAAGACAACTTATCTAAAACTCTTGAGAACAAATATATTTAAAATTTAGAAATTTTTTGGTTTCTTGCAGTGCTACGTGGTATATATTGTATATTAAAGAATATTATATAACTGTAATTAAGTTTTCACATAGTTTCTTTTATTATCATCATCAACTTTACTTCCATTGTTTTAATGAACTTTTATGACTTTCCTGTGCAGTAGCTACAATTATTCCTCACATTTTGCAGATGAGGAAATGAAATCTTGAAAGGGCTAAGCAACATCCTCAAAATTCTATGCATGTGTGTGTTTGTGTATTACTGACACATTTGAAATTATAATGAACCATATTCTTTTTTCTATGTAAGTATTTCACATTATTCAAAAGTTTTTACAACACTTAAGAGTATGTTAGGTGGGGGAAAAAATCCTAATACATTGTATATGCAATATAATATAAACCATATAAAAGGTATACACATATGCATAAAGGATAAAAGCTGGATGAGAACAAAATAAAAATATCAGCACTGATAAAAAAGTTCTTAGCAGAATGTGGGGCAGTACGCTATTTTTAAAAATTAATATTTCTGCAGCAAAATGTGTAAGTACAAATCCTAATTAAAAGAAGTAAAAATAATACATAGCCCCATATCAGTTCAGGACAGGCTTGCATGCCAGGTAAGCTGGCTGCAGACTTACAAAAATATTTCCAGTCTCTGAGCTTTTGGATTTCAGAATTTTAGGTAAGTATATGGTTATTGTGTAAGCATATTTAATTTGATCTGTGATTTGTATGAAATTGGATATAAAATACAGTTCTGCATTTTCCACTGCATTTTAGAAAACTATTGGATTAGGTTCTTGCACATGCAGAAAAAGTGAAAAGTAATAACAAAAACATAAGTGTAGAGGGAGTGAGTAGAAATGGTAGCAATTTTAGAATGTGTTCAAACTTAAGCAACCATCAACTTAAAATAAGCTGCTAAGAACATTGCAACCACAAACCAAAAAGCTACAAGAGATATACAAGAAATAAAGAGAAAAGAACCCGAACACGATACTACAGAAAGTCATCACCGTACTTAAGAGAGCAAGACAATAAGAAACAGAGAACTACAAAAACAATCAGAAAACAGTAAAATGGCAGTGACTACATACCTTTCAATTACTTTAAATGTAAATGGATTAAGCACTCCAATCAAAATCTGAATAGAGAAGATGTACATATATACAATGAAATCTTACCATTTGCAACTTAGAGGGTATTATGCTAAAAGAAATATGTCAAGAAGAGAAAGACAAATACCATGGGATTTCACTATATGTGGAATCTAAAAAACAGTAAACAAAACACAAACAAACATATATACAGAGTTAAAAGTGATAGTTGCCATATGGAAGCGGGGTTAGAAAAATGTGAAGGGATTAAGAAGTACAATCTGGCAGTTACAAAATAGTCATAGGGTGGTAAAGTACAGCTCAGGGGAGTACAGTACAGGGAGGTAAAGTACAGTAATATTGTAATAACTGTACATGGTGTCACATAAGTACAATACTTAGCAACTTATTGCGGGGGGGATCACTTTGTAAGTTATATGAATGTCTAACCATTATGCTGTACTTCCAAAACTAATATACTGAACTTTATAATTGAAAAATAAAAGTTTTTTAATGTTCTTAGCAAATTATTTTCTATGTCATAGAAAAGTAATATCAGTCATTATAAACCAGTTCTAGATAATATCTGCATAATAAAACAGAGAACATCTTGCACTTATACTAATCATAGTGAATAGTACCCACACAATACAGGCATCCTTTTGAAGACAAGCTCGAGCAATTAAAGAGGAACTCAAAGCACTTCTGCGTTTTTTAACATTTTTCTAGGCTAACAAGCTATAGTTGCATAGACATAACAGACATCAGCTATAGTTGTATAGTTTAGAAGCCAAAAATTGCATTTGGAAATATATTTGTTCTCTTCTGGGTCATTGGATTATGCAAAAACATCCCATTGAGCTTTGATAACATAATATTAACATTTTTAAGCTTATTCAATAATAGTGAGAACTGAGCAAATATATTAGAAGTGCTCTGTGAAAACAAAGTACCAATATAGAAGATATTTTTACTGCAAACAAGGTTTTGTCTCAAATTAGGTGCCTTTCAGATTTGTTGTGCATCGTATTTTTACTTAAGACTTATGAACAGTAATTAAAACCTTGTCTAATGAAATATCCCATTTCTATTAAAGTTTACACTAAATAATCTATTGAGATTTTACAGCTGATAACAATCTTAAATTATATACTTTGTAATATGTGGGTTAACTGTTATTCCTATAGATTTCTGTGTCTTGTAATTGAAATGTAGGTAAACAATGAGTCTTGCACATGTTACTAACCTGAATCAGTTATACATATTTAGAATAGTATCAAGTTTTGATGTCTTACTATAATTTACTATAACAAGAAAATTTTATTTAAAAATTAATAACTGATTTTGATATGGAATTATGTGGAAACTCTTTAACCAAAAGCAAATTGTCTTCACCTTTTTATCTTAAATGTTAGAGCACATCTTTGCAATATTAAAATTTTTAAATGTATGAATTTTGTTGACTTGTGTCAAGTCATCTTATAGATTATAATGTACAATGTATTGTTGGCTAGACACTTTATGGTGTTTACATGTTATTTTAGCAAATATGTATTTGTTTTGAATTGTTAAAAACCTTGAATCTAATACTTTCAAATAACATAGTTTTACAAGGCAAATGTCTTACTAAGGGCAAAGATTAAATTTAATCCCCAAGGTTCTTAACTGTGTTGTAGGTCTCTTATCTCATTCTTTCAGAATTTGAAGTAGCTGTTAGAATTGATAGACCACATGTTTAACCTGTGCTGCAGATAGTAAACGAGCTTAAATCTCACTCTTTCTCACTATTTCTTTATTCATTTCTCTCTTCCACACCAACTCTTACATGAGGTTTGGCTGTTGCATTCTCTCTTTTTACAGCTTCTTTTTACATGTATCAAGCAGTTCAGGCCTGTTGCTTATTCATGTATGGGCTTAGAAGAGTCGTTTTTTTTAAGGTATTAATTAGTTTGGCAATTAAAATAATGTTTTCTTATAGGAAAAAATTATAAAGGCAGTATTGAAAGCTGTGTAATTTCTTTTCATTCTGATCTCAAAAATGTTTTAATGAAAATATGCATAAACCTTTAGTAAATAATTTGATTGTTTGTTTTCATGTACTTTTAGATGCTGCTGTTAATTCTGGAGAACTATGGTTTGTGAACTTTTACTCCCCAGGATGTTCACACTGCCACGACTTAGCTCCCACGGTATGTATGTTTTACATCCTGTTTAATGCAGTTTTGTTATTTTGAATTCTGTTTAATAAATTAGGATTCTTTTTGTATTGTAGCAGTTGTAACTATTAGAAATAATTATGTAATTACACATATGGTTTTATTTGCTAAAAATATTCTCATTTAAGAATTCATGGCTTGAAGTGTATTCAAGGGAAGAAAAATGATCTTATTATTTTCTTTTTTTTCTCATAGTGGAGAGACTTTGCTAAAGAAGTGGATGGATTACTTCGAATTGGAGCTGTTAACTGTGGCGATGATAGAATGCTTTGCCGAATGAAAGGAGTCAACAGTTATCCCAGCCTCTTTATTTTTAGGTCTGGAATGGTAAGGGATAAAGTTGCCATTTTTTATATTTGTGGAATTTTTTAACATGGAAAATACTAGAGAAAACACAATATGTGAATTTGTAGAATGTTTCTAGTTTTAAGTCTTATTTTGGTGACATCTAACTAGGCTCTAGTAATAAACGTTTTGGATTATATTATGAATACTTTTTAGATGCCATTACAGTCAACCTTTGAATAATAAATAACACAGGGATTAGGGCTCTGACTGCCTGTGCAGTTAAAAAAACACATATAACTCAAGTGGCCTTCCACATACACGGATTCCCAACCTCTAGTTGGCCCTTCAACAACACGGGTTTGAACTGCAGACAGTTGAAGAAACTCCTAGTAATAGTGGACCCGCACAGTTCAAACAAAGCCTATTGTTCAAGAGTCAACTATACTTTGCTCTATTTCTAAATTAAATGTTTGCCAGTTTTAGTTTCTGTCTTAACATACTGTAACCAATTTGCATATTCTATAGTTTTCAAAGTATTTTACAGGTATTGTCTCATTGATTATAAAGTTCTGATATCCCTTTTTTTCAGTTTTAAGTGATAAAACTGCAACTAAAATTATTATAAATATTATTAAAATGTCTTCCATGAAATCTGTATAATCAAGATTCTCAGCATATCATTCGGAAATAAACTGCATTGAAAGAGATCTATGTTATTCAAAATAATGTAGAATTTAAAGTCTTTGGTATTAAGTGGTTTTTTTTAAGAAGTAAAAGATGTTTCTCTTTTTTAATTTAAAAAAAAAAAAAAAGGCTGCAGTGAAGTACCATGGTGACAGATCAAAGGAAAGTTTAGTGAGTTTCGCCATGCAGCATGTTAGAAGTACAGTGACAGAATTATGGACAGGTAATTTTATTTTCTTAATTTGTTTGATTTTCAAGGATACTTTGAAATTGGTATTTTAAGTTTTTCAGTGGTAACATTAATATATTTGTCATAATATTAAAATTTTTAAATATTATTTCCATGTTTCTTAGAAAGGGAATTGTGTTACTTATTCTGACCTTTACTAAATAGTAGGCATTTAACGAATGAATTATATGTATACAGAAACTAAAACCATTAGGAAGTGGGGAATGAATATGAGACGAGACTAGATGAAAAGGCAACTCTCAAAGTACAACTAAATGTTTAGTAAACCAAGTGTTTTATTGCTTTCATAAATATACTATATCCAACATTGAATTCATGCCTATCCAGTTTCATTTTAAAGTTTAAACTCTTCTAATCTTAGGCTTTTAATTCAGCAAGTGACTGTAGGTAGGTTGTTTAACTACTCTGAACTACCTATGAAATGACTAGTATTCATATCAAAGGGATGCTCATATCTTCCATTGAATACCAGTTATATCTCTAAAACTGTGTTAAAAACTAGGGCTGCAGTAATAAAATACATAATCCCTGCCTTCAGGGACCTCATTATTTTAGTGAGGAAGACACTGTAAACCACTAAAATTAAATGTAGTAACTAGTACTAGAAGTAAGTTTAAGGAAGCTACTCAGGTGGAGAAAAAAGGAAGAGTTAGAAAATACTTCTTGAATGAGGTCAGACCCAGTCTGTCATGAAAATGAAAAAGCCTTGAAGGATTACTGTGTATTTGGGAAACTGACAATATTTCATGAATCTAACAAAAAGATGAGTACTGTGGTAGAGTGCCATTGGGAAAAATATGGCTGGGTGAATGAATGGGTAGACAAAGCTCAGATCACAAAGGGCTTTACTTAACAATTTGAGTTTCTTAATGAAATAATGGATTTAGATATTATGTGATAAAAAATAATGGAGAGCCAGTGAAGGAATTTGACATGCTTAAGAGGAATTTTAGGAAATCCTGACTACTACTCAGAGTGAATTGGAAGAGGGTGAAATTAAGAAAACTATTTGCATTATCAAGTAATAAGTGATCAGAAGTTTGCTTTATTTTTCTTTTTAAGGAAATTTTGTAAATGCCATACAAACTGCTTTTGCTGCTGGTATTGGCTGGCTGATCACTTTTTGTTCCAAAGGAGGAGGTAACTATTATTCTGTTATGATGAAAAGACCATGACATTTAATTTTTTTATTTTTTCAGCTTTATTGATCTATAATTGACATAAAAGCATTGTGTAACTTTAAGATGTACAACATGTCGATTTTCAGATACTTAAAAAATGATTACCACCTTAGTATTAGCTTACCACTTCCATCCTATCAAATAAGTACCGTTTTTTTGTGGTGAGAACTTTTAAAATGTTCTCTTAGCAACTTTCAAGCATATAGTATACTATTATTAGCTATAATCACTATGTACATTAGATCCCCAGAACTTGTTAATCTTATAGCTGTAAGTGTATACCCTTATTCTAGGTGACAATCTTAAGTATGCTACTATAATAATTGACTATTCAGTATTTCAAACTACAATTTATACTCAATTACAAATTTTTATTTATTTAATGAATATCTTTTTATTACTTTACACATAAGAGGTTTCAAAATTATTAAGTATTATTTACGGTTCACTGAGCAAGTTTTTCCACTTAACATTCTCATGATAAATCGCACCTTCAGATAGCTACAGATGTATTTAGCACTTTGCAAAAATAACTAGTCATTGACAGATCCCTCCCAAAACAATAATTTGTTTGGAGTTATTAACTTTGCCTTGTACTTATTACATATTAAAAATATATACATGTTTATCTCATAAAATTGTATATTTGAAGATGACAACTTTTCATTTCTAGGAACCTTTCCCCCAGTAGACTAAGTTGAAAATACTCTACATACCAAACCACAAACTAAACTGTATTCAAGCAATGAGATTGATTAAAAATTGGCCCCAGTATTACAAAATACCCTAATACATTAATACATTTTCAACAATCACAACATGATTTTCCCTCACACTTTACCTCACAGCCTTTATGCTGATCTGTTGAGAACATATTGTCTTGCAACTAAAATCAACTTTGTCTGTCTTTGAGGAGTTTGTCTCATTTTGGCCTAATGCACATATTGTTGTCCATTTCACACATGAGGAAAGCTTTTAAAAGTTTCTGACAGTCTTTTACTTTTACTCCCAGTAGATTAATTTTAACCTACCTCTATAGGCTGTGATGCTACAGCTTCCTTTCTTCTAAATCTTTCTCATTTTATCCTAGCATTTATGTTTACAGAACTTTCATAAAAGTAGTGAAGAAGCTATTTTAAGACTGTTTTATTTTGAGGATTGTTTACATATCTTTATCAAATAGGTCCATTGCATGTTATTTTCCCCAAATCATGAGATCTCTTAGATAAAAGGGACTGTTAATAGGAGGAGAGATTTCAGAGTAAGATCCCAAAGGGATGCTTGAGAAAAAATTATTCCTTTTCTCTCTAGCTAGAAATCCTGGGAAACTAAGGGGGAGAGGGAATAAAAGAGAGTGAAAGAGAGAGAATGGGTGTGTATACGTATGTGTGTAGAATGGGACTTTGACCTTAGTATCTACCTAGGAAAATTTCTGTATTTACCAGTAGAGATCAATTAATTGCCTTAGAATCAACCTGATAGTTTGGGAGAAAGGAAAATGAAAGTATAGACTTAATAAAGCTGAAATTGCTTACTATTCTTTTTCCCTCTAGATTGTTTGAGTTCACAGACACGTCTCAGGCTTAGTGGCATGTTGGTAAGCATCAATTATTTTGTAAAACTATATCAGCATATTAGAAACACATTTAAAAACTGGTTTCAAGTATTTTCTCTGGTAGTTTATTGAATACTTAACTCACTTATTTGTAATCTTGTTTTCTGATAAATATTCATAGTTACAAGTTTCTAACTATCTGTGTTCACTATACATTCTGACATGTGGTACTTTTGTTGTCATTCACTTATAAGTATTCTGTAATTTAATTATAAAATAATCTTTAACCAAAGAGTTATATATTAGTGTTTTTGTCATTTCCAAACTTTATTTTTGTTGTTTTATTTCTCATCAT